CCCCAAAACCCCAAAACCCCAAAACCCCAAAACCCCTTTTAGAGGAGCTGGTATTGGCATGAGTATATAATTTAATAAAGATGCAAAAAGAAAAGAAGAATACAACATCTTGTAGGAAGTTAAAACGCTGAGAGATAGCTATACATAATAAAGAAGCGAGAATAAGAAGTTTATGAATCTCTGAAATGTACAAGAAGCATGATCCTCCAAGCCCTAACTTTCACACTATATTTTCTACATCCTATGATAATCATACCATTTGTCAGATAATATCTTTCTTAAAAGAATCGTTATTGTTTAATATTTCTCAAGAAGAAAAGGATCACGAATGAGAACTCATTATTTTGTCGTATAAATTAAGGTTTAAATATTTTAAAAAGATGCTCGATTACACAACGACCAACAGAAGGACTATCATATTAATTCCTGATAGCACCTCTTTGCCATTCAGGTCATACTTCTTTATGAAAAGATTGGGCATTAAAGCTCATTCCTTCAAATGAATTGTTATTCACTTCATAGCCATCACTTCGAAAGAACTTGTTAACATCATAAGAGAAGGAGTCAATCTTGAGTATCTTGACTTAAGAAAATGCATTATTGAAGGTCCTAAGCTTACATTTAAAGCAAATGGGACTTCTCGTTTGAAATAAAATCAACATAAGTTGGTCTAAAACTTGACCCGTGTATTCTATAATACACATTTTTTAAATACTAATAATTCCAGAAGACAAGAATTTGTTAATTTCTGAGAAAGTGACATAAAATTATGAACTGCAAAGGCTAAATCTAGATGTAAATTAATTAAAAATTCATACAATTCTTGTTATTTCAAACTTGAGTTCTAAAATAATTGAGTCCATTTCTAGGTTATTCTAAAATAAAGTTGTTAATTACTAAAAATATCAAAAGTTTTCCTGAAGAAATAAGAACTAATAGTTCTTTTTTGATCTTTCAAGATCAAACTGGAAAACCTTAAGTAAAAGTAGCGATTTAGTATCACAATCTTGCTAAGATATAGCAATAATTCAGCTATGAGTTTGATTTCCATAACTTTAGCAAGCAAATTTGGGGTAAACTAATATAATGGGTGTGAATGAAAGTGTCCCTCTTTTTGCATCCCAAAAGCAAAGCTCCTTATTTTAAGCATTTATTGATAACCATCTATTGAATCAAGAAGTTTCTCGGAATGAAAAGTAGGTTTTAAGGAGTCTAATTCAAGCTAAAAATGTAGGTATAGATTCAATACAGTTTCAGAATGAATTAACAGATTTTATGTACTAAAGAGTGAGCAAGCTTCATTCACAAGAATAATTTAGAATAAGTTACCCTATAAATCTTAGCATAAGCATCACAATACCTATTTAAAGGAATTAAAAGCCAGAAATAGACTTGGCTGCTTCGAATTAAAATTTAGAATAAAGAGAATGACATAAATTTTAAATTAATTTGTATTAAAATTAGTCTTTGCAGTTCAAACTTTTATGGCACTTTCTCATAAATTAAACAATTCTTATCTTTAGGAGTGAGAATTATTATTGGAAAGAGTGTAGGAAAGAGCTCAGAATACTTCGGAAATATTTTAAGCAACATCGACCAGTGTCCCTGTGCAGAAACTTTGGAAAGAATTGAAATCTTGAACTCCAAAATTCCATGCCGTGTGGCTAAACTTTTGGAGCAAAGATTCAAGCACTTGAAGGTTTATTTCATAAACGAAAAAGGTGCCTATAAAACTCTGAATTAATAAAGTTCAATCTTATAATAAACAAACGGGGTTTTGGGGTTTTGGGGTTTTGGGG